GTTGTCTCTCATTTTACACTTGGATTGTAAACTCTTGGGGCAGATTTCAGAGTAACAGCCGTGTTAGTCTGTATTCGCAAAAAGAAAAGGAGTACTTGTGGCACCTTAGAGACTAACCAATTTATTTGAGCATGAGCTTTCGTGAGCTACAGCTCACTTCTGTAGCTCACGAAAGCTCATGCTCAAATAAATTGGTTAGTCTCTAAGGTGCCACAAGTACTCCTTTTCTTCTTGGGGCAGAGACCATTTTTTGTTAGATATCTGTACAGTGTCTAGCACAATGCAGATGAGGCCTCTTTATTGTGATGTAAAGTGATAATGATAATTTTACATGTGCAATATCATTTTGTATTCAGCTAGTGCTGACATCACAATGGCATATAATAAAATTTGGTGTCAAGCACTGTGTTTTGTATGGAAATCTTCATGTATAAAATCCTGTGCAGGAAAGGGGATCATGAAAGGGAGCTACTGATCATTACTCCAGTCTAGAATTAACTGAAACATTTTTGTAATATTCCTCAGGAAGCTCAATCAAATCTACCAATCTCTAGAAATTAATGGCATGAACTTGCATTAAATCAATCTGTCGTTAGTCCAGCTTTCTTTATGGTAACTCCTTAGGATACATTTCCTGCAACTGACTGAGAGATGCCAAAAGAGGATCTACAGACATGATTTTAAAATGTATCACAGTACATTAGCTTGCACCTAGCTGTATCTTTCACAGGATATCACAGTCACACAATATAAATACAAGGCGATGGGATACTGAGCCATTGACTGCTATGGACCCAGTTCAGTGTATTTGTGTAAAAGATGGACATAAGCAGTGTAGAAAGAGACATACAAGTTCTGGATTCCGTAAAGTTGGGAGAATACTACACACTGGTTTGAGATAATGTGGCTGTTATATCTAAGTGAGTTTAATCCTTGTACAATCAAATTGCCACTTGCAAACATACCGTTGCTTGTGGGCTCAAGTGTGCCCGTTAGGTATCGCTCACAACAAAGAGCAGTGCAGAACTGCACAGCCCCACTGGGGGTGGCTCCTGGCAGAATTCTTTCCTGGTGGACAAGGGAAGTGAGCTCACTGCTATGCTCCTACGTTGAGTGCGGCTTACTCTCCCCACTGTGCTGGCCGCCCTCAGCAGGCTGGTGTGAGGATGGGGTAGGGACAGGGGCCCATTTCAGATGTTGTGCTCCCTTAGGGAGTAGGGCACGAGCAATCCTTGTGCTCAGGAACTGTGTTTGGGCCTCGTGCTTACGAGGGCTCTGGAAATGGGAGTGCTTGTAAAATGGACGCCTGTAAAAGTAAAAGAGATAGATTGAGATAATGAGCCATATCTTTAACAAGTGCAAACTGCATAGTTCCACTGAAGTCGAAGGGGCTATGCACTTGCCCCACAGGTGAGTATCTGTGAGGAATCACTGTAAATTCCTAGCCATGCACAGAATGGGAAAAAATATCTATCATTGACCGCTGCTAGAAGAGTTTCGTAACAAGCCAAATCCCACAATGCCACTGAAACAGTAAAATGCAAACCTACTGCAGTCTTACTGATTAAATGCCAAGACTGTCAAAAGTTACTGATGTTTGAGACCCCACAAAGTGGCCATGTTTGCAAAGAGTTGGGGGTGGGGGGCTCAGCTCTGTCAGAAAATCCAGCCCCTTGAAGGTGTCTCAAGTTGAGTACCTAAAAGGCGAAGCATGGAAAAGTTTCTAGTTGAAGGGATCACTCTCGTTACAGTGTGTATGGTAACACCCATTGTTTCATGTTCTCTATGTATATAAATCTCCCCACTGTATTTTCCACTGAATGCATCCGATGAAGTGAGCTGTAGCTCATGAAAGCTCATGGTCAAATAAATGTATTAGTCTCTAAGGTGCCACAAGTCCTCTTTTTCTTTTTGTCAGAAAGTTACAAAATGATGCGAAAAGGACTCTCCAGCAAAATCACTGATCCCCCCTATAAATTTCACTTGACTCTTTGCATGTAGGATTGCCTGTTAGAGTGCCACATCAAGGACTGCATCTTTCCATAAGGAGGAATGTCTTGATAATCAATGGTAGATTTCTAATTGAGGCATGGCTCAACCATTAAATTAATTAGCCTGATTCTGATCCTGTACCATGTAAATCAGGAGTAGCTCCACTAAAGTCAATGAAATTAAACCATGGTAACTGAGATAAGAATGAGACCGAATGCATTTAGTTAACTAGATTAGGTTACCTGCCTCTAGCAACAATTCCAACAAAGAAACAAACAAATCGTCACTTCAGATCAAATGGCAAATCCTGCTGTGTACAGCAGTTCCCTTTTATATTGCAGCAGGTTCTAAAACCACCTGACCTTTGCCAGCACGACAATGTTCTCCATTATTGAAAAGGATATGGTTAGTAGTGCATTAAGATACCTGTTTTCCAGTACATCCAAGCTAAATGGACTTCAGCTTTCAGCTTCTGTAATCATCATTAATGATTTGTTCCATAGCCAATCTGATAAAGAAGGATGACCAAAGCTGTGCTGATTAGATTTCCTTGAATGGAGGTGATTACATTCTCTGCTTTATTTATCATTACTAATTGCAACCAGGGGTTGCTCAGCTTCAGTTAGTTCAGCTGATCCTTTTGAATAGGATAACATAGCCTGATGTTCTCTGCCCTTTCTGCTCTGCGTGCCAATTGCCCAAAAAGGACGGAAACCACTTGAGTTAGGGGAAGTCAAATAAGGGTTTCCTCCTCCTTGAGATAGAGAGAGGAGAGTGTGTTCTCAGGGGAGGTGTATGGGCCACATATGTCTCAGTGCTAGGATTTCACTCATAGGCATGACTCAGTGGGTGCTCCAAGGCTGGAGCACTCACAGAAAAACATTAGCAGGTGCTTAGCACCCACCAGCAGCCAGCTCCTCCACCCACAGTGCCTCCTGCCCGCCAGCAGCCCCACTGATCAACTTCACCCCCTCCCTCCCAGCACGTCCCGCCTGCCGCAGATCACCTGTTCTGCTGCATGCAGGAGGTGCTGGGACGGGGCACGCTCAGGGCAGGGGGCAGAAAGAGGCGGAGTGGGAAGAGGCAGGGCAGGGTGCGGCCTTGGGGAAGGCGTGAGTGGGGGTGAAATGAGGGCGGGAAGAGGTGGTGGGTTTAGGGTGGAATGGGGATAGGGCCTGCAGTGGAAGGGTCGAGCACCCCCCGGGTAGAGAGGAAGTTGGCACCTAATATTTCACTGTATGCTAGGCCGGTGGCTAGAGAGGCTGTTCCATCCAGGAGTACCCCCTGCAGAGTCCTAATGACTTCTGTGGGGTTTTGCATGGGGGAGGAGGTTCACACAGGTGAAACAGCTTACAGGATCAGGGCCTTATTCTTTTAAAGGAAAGTTTATCTTGAAAGCAGCCCAATTGCTTGAGATGCAGGGAATGATGTGGGCAATGTCTTGTGGTGTATATCTAGACACACACATAGGTACGGTAATTTACAGAGCTGTCAACCAGGCCACACGATGTGTACACTAATTTCTATAAAGAAACAAGAGGGAGTAACAAAAGGGTTTCCATTTTACATACCCGGAGTTCTTTCAGTCTTTTCGAAACAGAACACCATGAAATTTACGAGCTGAGCTGTTTATCCTAGAGCTGGAATTGTTAAGCTTTTCTTTTAAGGTTTCCACTTTTATTATTTATTATACACAGTGAAACTTCACTTACCCTAACCTCAGCTATCAGAAAAAGCCTAATTTATGTGAAATGAGGTCATGTCCCTTGATGTGTATTAAACAATTTGAAAACCCCCATTTATCCACATTAATTCCATTTGGATAAAGGAGGTGTCACTGTATATCAGTAATTTTATTTCTTTTTTTTTCTTTTCTAAAGAAAAAGCCAAGTTAATTAAACCAAACCCTACAGTATTTATGATTTTTTTTGTAGCTTAGCCTGGTTTATAAAAGGTGATGTTAATATTGACTTTAATTAATGTCAATCTTAATGTAATATTACATTAATAGCCTGGTGTATCTTTGAGCCTAAGGCAATGTACCGTACAGCTTAAGCTATTTATAACAAAGGTATATTTAACAGCTTTGCCCCCACCAAAAAAAAAAAAAAAATCAATTTATACTAAATGCAAAATCAGATTCATCACCCCAGGGATTAAGAAAAATGAAAGACCAATTTAATGACAGGATTTAGTTCATTATTTATCTTCCAGCATGTAAATTATAGATTGTCATGAATTTTTTATCCTTTTGGTGCCCACTACCTAATTCATGTGAAAAACTTAAGCCTATGTTACAAAGAACAAGCTCCCTAGCTCTGTGTACAAGAGGCATCTCCTCTGCCTTTTGACGGACGATAATCTGTCAAAATGAAAAATTAATGGAGGCTCCCTTAATTCATCATCTTCTGCCTGTGTTCTATTAATGGTTTTAAAAAAACTTCTGTAACTGCTCACACTGAACAGAATTGGTAAAGTGGGGGGAATGAGAGGTCAGCTGACTGCTTGAGTTTATGCCATGTGCTATAATCCAGCCAATAGCTGAATGACATGTTATTTATTAAATTCATTCAGGAATTGTGCAGATTTCCGCACACCATGAAAATGTGCTGAGATCAAAACATTTGGTGGGGGTACTTTATAGTTTTCAGTTTTGCCGTAACAGAAATTACTTTGTGTAAATGATTATAAAGAACTTGCATGGAGTAGGTATGCTACATGAAGCCCCCATTTTGAAAACTCGACCCAGGAATAGACCAAACCAGGGAAATAATAAGCAGGCTTCAGTTGTGTCCCCTAAAATAAAATGTACATGTCAAAAAACAACTGATTTTCTCTTTGATGACTGATTTTACCTCAACCAGGGAGGACTTTTAGCACTGTCTTAAATAAGGATTTAACCGCTATAGAAAATATGCCATTATAAATGTGTTTCATAGCTGTCCTAGTCACCTCTACTGATGACCTTAAAAATAGGAGTTCAACCAAAGTCTTTCTTTCTTTCACAGCTCAACTACTTTTGGATGATCCTATAGGTCTGAATGCTATGTTTGTCATATCACAATAAATTCAAGGACAACGGACGATGTCATAAATGCAAGATTATGACAACTTCACTACTGGATTGAGAAGCATGGAGAAGTGGAGTGGAAAAATGCTATTCAAACATAAATACTGGCAGAAATAGCACAGTAGATTACAGGAGAAGTGTTTCTTTGTGCACAGTACACATGTATTCCTTGAGACAATATGCCTTTTTTCCAACAATGGATACATTTTGGAGGGCTAAATCCGGAGACACTACACAGGAAGTAAGATCCAACTCTTTGTCATTCAGAATGCTCATTAGAATAAAGCACTAATTCAGCCATCCTTATTTATAAAATATTGCAAGGAGGAAGGGAGGTCCTTAGTCACTCACTCAGTCACCTGACTGTTTTTATTGAGATCTCGCTGTCTCACTAATCATTGTACATGGTTCTAAGGCACCAATTACCCTATCTTGGCTATGGTTATGTTTTCTAAAGCCCGATTCAGGTCTCATTTACATCAGTGGAAAGATACCCACAGACTTCAGTGGCGGTTGGAGCAACCCCTTGATAAACAGGCTACAGCCGAAATCCTGTGACATCCCCTGAAGGGGAACTCATGCAATGACTTGGCTCATCAGCAAGAGATCAGCGAGGAAGAGAAAATTTTTGTCAAGAGTTTTGTGAATAACAAGAATATGTTGAACAAGTATAGCACCTTTTGTCTGAGGATCTGTGTGTTTTAAACATGAATGCACAGACCTTTGAAACATCCCTAAGAGATAGCTATTATCACTCCATTTAAAAATGGAGAAATTGTGGGTCAAAGAAGTTAAGTGTTTTGCCCAAGGCCAAGTAAAAAGTCTGGGACAGAGCTGGGAAGAGAATACAGATCTTCTAAATCCCAGTCCTGTGCTTAACCACTTGAACAACCTTTCCCAAGTTAGTCTTTTCCCCTGGTTCAAAGATAGCAATTTTGTCAGGTGAACTAGAAGAGATTCCATCTGGATAATTCAGCCGAAACTGCTATGTTCTCGTGTGTGTCTGAGGCATGCTGAGATTAAGACAAAAGCCAACAAAACTGAATGTTTACATTATTTAATTGTTTTCCAGTCAACAGCAATTTTTATTTTCTGAAATCAGTGGTCAGAATATGTGGCTCCTTCTATGAAATACCAGGAAGAGAACACACATGTGCTGGGAATTTCAAAGGAGACCAAGGGGGTTAGGCACTCAAATACCACTGAAATGCAATGGGAACTGGGTGCATAAATCCCTTGGGTTCTTTTGAAAATCCCAGCCACAATTGGCTACGCTACAGCTGAGGGAAAACAACCATCAAGAAGAACTGCCATGGACAGAAAACTGCCTGCAAAGAACTTAAGGTTCACCCAGTTCCATGAGTGGCTCTGGACACAGGTGACCCAGAGCACGAGTCATTCAAAAGCTCTTGAACAATGACCCTCATGAGTGCATTAACATTCTGTGCATTTGTCACAGGTGTTGATCAACAAAATTTTGAGAGCTAAAGATTTGTCCAGAGAAGTGTAATGGGGATAAATGAACTCCTCATGTGAGAAGAGCGCAATGGCCTTGCTAGGCATTAGTGACATTTGCGCATTAGGGAAATATACTTGATTGGGGGCTGTTTTGTTTACCCATGTTTTATGTATGCAGAAGAAGGGCTGAAAGTTTTTTGGCATCACATGCAAGTGAATTGGATAGCAGACTAAGTGGTTACAGAGTGAGACTCTTCTAGGACTGGAGATACTGGTAAATGGCTATGGATCCAGACTCTTCTAGGACTGGAGATACTGGTAAATGGCTAGGGATCCAGACTCTTCTAGGACCTAAAGTCATTATAACCTGAAGAACATTTTGCAGCCTATGTGAAAGTGAGTTGATGGTCACAGCCCATTTCCCCATAGACAGGTGAACCCATCACAGAAGCCAACATTTCAAAACCACTAGCTGTCACCTTGTTGACAGTCTCAGGGGTGAGGCAAGGAATGAGCAGGCCATGAAGACTGAACTACTTTCAAACCCCTAGGGGTGGGAGATCCTGCCAGACCATGGTTGGATGATGCAATGATGTCTCCACTGCTACTCTCCATGATATAGTTGGTGTGGGAACCTCACATCTCTCTCCAAGGCTGTCTGCCTGGTAGCTACTATTACTGCTTATTATTACTTAAGCTGAGAACTGTACAGATGGGTATGTGTCCCCTTAAAAGCCAATATAACCACTTCGAAAAAACTTTGGGGAAAAAGAAAATGCAGTCCCTGTGGGAGAACATTAGAATCTTATTCCTACTTGTCACGGTTCATAACAGAAGCCCTCTACACCTTGCTCCCTAGATCTAGTATTAAATCCTTCAGATATCTACAAATTATTATGCTGATATTGCTTTTAAGGTCAAGGTTTAAAGTATAATGTGGATCTTACAAGAAACTCTAGTGATTGATGTAATATATCAGGTACTTGCCTTGAAAAAAAGAGTATTATTCAGCTGCCTCCACTGGAAGATTAAAAGGGTGGGGGGCGAAGAAGTTGCCTAGCTGGTTAAATGAAGGGTGGTTGTTCTCAATGGTCAATGTTGCAATGAAATCACTATAAAAAATAGCAACTGATATTGAACTTGCTTGCAACATCTTCTGATCCCTCTAATACATGTCTCCAGGCAGCAATTCTCTCTTCACATCAATAACCTTGTTACACCAGCTGGTTTCAAATACTAGCAATTTCCAAAATCATCTTTGAAAGCTGCTTTCTGTACACTCTGCTCTGCATGTTTTTGAAACTCCTCAGACAATGCAGGAAATTGCTTTTTATATTTGCTAAAGGTCCAAGCCACCAGAAGGAAGGTTGCTCCCATCTCATGCAATTTCTCTCATTATTTCAGGTGCTAACGTTGGTTTGCAAGCACAAGTATTTGAACCTGATGAACGATACAACAGGAACAGTGAAATTGGATATTATCATGCAGAAAACATTTTGCTGTAGGAACATAGACTCAACTATACCTAATCAGGCCACTAGTCCAACAATAGCCTGAGCTCTCCAGTAGCTAATACCCAATATTTCATAGGAAAGTGAAGGAAACCCCAGAGCACTAAGATAATTGTTCACCGCTGTATATGGAGAAAAATATCCTTCCTGCCCCCGAGGCTGACCAGCTCATGCTTTCACACATATAATAGTAATACCCTCATTATAATGCAGACAGACTCAGGATATTGTTTCCTAATCTATATTTACAGTATGCACTCAGGCATCCAATATGGAGACCCAGTAGTGGACTATGCACAGAGTTATTATTGGCTATATATAGCCAATCTTTTAAAAATACAGCCACAATATTTGACTTGTATGGTATTGTCCAGGCTCCAGGAGCTGTATTTTAGAAGTTGATTATTTCCTCAGTAGAGGAGTAGAGAGCAGACAAACTTAGGATATTGTTTGCTAGTCTATATTTACAGTATGTACTCAGGCATCCAACATGGGGACCCAGTAGTAGACTGTGCACAAAATATATTAGTGAGAGGTCAGCATTGGAGATGCTTCAGACTCACTTCAGTCCAGTGGCTGACATAGCCTCTCTCAGCGCTAATGTATCTCCCTGGGGAAGAAGATCAGAGAGTTTGACTGGCTCCTCCCTTTCCCCACTCCGCTGCAAGGTCCCCATAAAGGTTGCAAAGAGACAGCAGAGTTGCAGGCTAAGTCCCACAAAATGCCGGTTGTTGCTTTGCAAAAGGATGGATAAAACAGGAAAAGCAGCAGCAAAGCTTACTCAAGATACAGCTAAGTTGAAGTAAAACACTGCCACTGGGATAAGTGAATGGAGAATGCAGATTTGGTAGCACTTTACCCCCACTTTTTACACATGTAAATGAGTACATAAGTACAAGGCCGTGGAGGATCAGGCCCCAAACATGCAAGTACCCCCCAGCATAGAATGCTGCTCTTAGGGCAGTTTGCTGGGAATGTATCGGAAATTTAATGATGGAGATGTAGAGAAAGCAAACAGCTTCGGTGTATGTAAGCAGTCCCGGGTTTACAATGGCTCCAGTGGCTCCATGGAGCCGGGCCCATGCTCAGAAGGGGCCCTGGCCTGCTCCACTTGCATTGTGCCCTGAGATCCCTCTGGCTCCCCCTGCCCACCCCCTGCTCCTCTTGGCCTGCCCCCCTGCTCCTTTCTGCCCCCTGGCTGGACCCTAGTGCACTTCCGGCTCCGGGCAGTCTGCTTCCCACCACCTGTAGGACCCCACCTGTCCTCCAGGAGCTGAGCAGCCTGGGACTGGTGCAGAAGCCTGGCCAGTCTCAGCCTGGGGGGTGGTGGTGTGGGGGGGGGGTAAGGGGGGAAACAGGACAATGCGGGGAGCTTGGCTGGGCCCCTCCAGGAGAAGTGCATCTTGAGGGAGCCCGGCCAGGGCAGGCCCTGGCCTGGCTGATCACACCACTCCTGAGGAACCAGAGCGATTCCCTACCCTGGTACCAGCTCTGGCTGCACTGCTGGCACACAGTTGCCTCCCAGCAGGGCCGGTGAGTGTGACCAGAGGCAGGGCGTGGGGGAGTGGGTTTCTTGTAGGGGCAGTGCTGGGCTGTGAAAGGGAAGGGAAGATCTGTGTGTTGGGGCACTAGGGAGTGGGGGGTTTGTGGGAGGTGCTGGGCAGTTGTGGTGGGGCTATGGGCAGGGGGATGCTGGGCAGGAATGGTGTTGTGCAAGGCGCTATGCATTTGTGTGGAAGGGGATGGGGGGGCGCTGGGCACAGTGGGTCTGGGGGGGCTCTGGCCATAGGGAGTTGGGAGGATGTTGGGGGGGGGGGGCTGTGTGGCACGGCATGGGCCCACCCCCCCGAGGGGAAGGGGCATGCTGGCAGCACAGGGCCGGGCGAGCCAGTGTGTGTCTGGTACCTGCCGGTTTGTAAATAGTGCCCTCGCACTGGGCCGGGCGGAGCTGGCTGGCCCCTCGCTCTGGGGACTGACCTCTCCGCGCCATGCTCCATTACTCCCATGGGGGCCCACAAATAAGTTTGGTGCCGGGCCCACAAAAGGTTAATCCGGCCCTGTATGTAAGGGACCTGATTCATCACTGCATCAGTCCAGTTTATGCAGGTCTCACTGCATGAGGATGGTCAGTTGGGCTAAATAGCACAAGAGCTGTAAAGATCCCATCTGTGAAAAGTGGGTGCCTATTTGCTACACTTATTTCAAAGTAGCCACACTGGTGGAAAGCCAGAGTGACACAGTGGTCAATCAGGCCCAAGTATTATAGAACTAACGGGATGTAAGGTTCAGTGTGTTGACCCTAATTCTCATTTACACTAAAGCTCTGTCACAGCACTCCAGCAATGTAAAGGGGCCCTAGTGCAGCGGCTCTCAGCCTTTCCAGATTACTGTACCCCCTTTGGGAGTCTGATTTGCCTTGCGTACCCCAAGTTTCACTTCACTTAAAAACTATTTGCTAACAAAATCAAACATAAAAATACAAGTGTCACAGCACATGATTACTGAAAAATTGCTAACTTTCTCATTTTTACAACATAATTATAAAATAAATCAATTGGAATATAAATAGTGTACTTACATTTCAGTGTATAGTATATAGAGCAGTATAAACAAGTCATTGTCTGTATGAAATTTTAGTTTGTACTGACTTTGCTAGTGCTTTTTATGTAGCCTATTGTAAAACTAGGCAAATATCTAGATGAGTTGATGTACCCCCTGGAAGACCTCTGCGTACCCTCAGGGTACATGTACCCTGGTTGAGAACCACTGCCCTAATGTAAATGAGGATCAATCCCTTTGCTTTTAAAATTCTGAAGAAGCCTTTGGGCCTGGTTTCTTTTGGTGTACATTGTTTTTTATCCTAATGTGGCTCTAGTGAAGTTACTCCTGATTTACACTGATGTTCATAAGAGTAGAATCAGGCCTTCTACATTTTACACTCTTTATAATATTGATCTGTAATCATGCAATATCCACAGGGAAAACTGAGTTCAGGAGTATACAATCAATATTGTATTCATTTAAAAAAACCCAAAGAATTAAAAATACAAACCACCTGATTTTGAAATAAATTACCTTCATGGAATTATATCTTATCTTTAGACTGAAATATTCACAGAAAATTAATGAGATTGTCAAGAGGCCACAATGAAGATTTATGTGCTAATCTGGTGACGTTTTAAAACAATATAAAATAATAAAGAAATGCTTCTGTTAAAAAAGAGGCAGAGATACTTAACTTGAATGGAATCTTTTATTAGATTCCTCCTGTTTAGAAGCAAATAGCTCCTTTGTTTAAATACCCTTCACAAAGGCAAAGCCTCAGGAAACATTTTGTAAAAGAATTCTGAAAGTCAAAGTCATTTTGATAGAAATCAAACCAGAAATAATTTCTCCCTAAAGGAATTCTACTTTATTTTAATGATGTCTGGATTGTTTCCATTTAAACAGCATTTTTTGTTAATTATGATTCACACTGTCCACTTAAACAGTGACTTTTTTACATAAGCTTAGGAACTCATTTGTCATATCCATTTTGTTCAAGTGGAGGAAACAAATATGAAAGGAAAACAATTTGACTAAAAACATCTTCCGTTCATTAAAAAGCTTTATGTTCTAATGGCTGAATATGAAATTCTGCTCTTAACGGCTACTGGGAGCTGGGGAGCTCTCTGTTAGACACTTACTGAGGCATTCTTTCCTGGTAATATAGGCTGTTTATGGGGCTTTTCATGACCTTTCTTTTTGGTACTGCCAACAGAGGAATACTGTGTGCATCTCTTTTATATCCACTTGTCTGCTTGCTCATGGATATGTATCTGTTTTGTTGTCTTCATTTTGAAGAAAAAAGCCAGGGGCAATTAAAAGAGAATCAAAATAAATATATGTGTGTTGTGTCACAAAACTAACACAAACATTAGGAGAATGTTAGTGCTACAGACACAAAGGTACTGAGATAAAATGCCTGGTCACCTCCTCCAGTGCTTGGGTACATTATGAGGTGTTACTGCCCTTTGCTGTAGACATGAAGATGCTGGTGAGTTCCATCACCAGGAGCTGGGCGTTCTTTGGCTTCTAATGTTACGAGTTGGATATGTTTTTAATTAGAAATTAGCTAGAACCATTAATCTAAATCCCACAAAATTTGGAAGTTCAGATAAAATAGATTGTACATCTAAACCCTCCAGGATTTTGTATGTACTAGCTTGGATGCAGGGAAGCATCCTTATTCCCACAAGCACTCAAGCACATGCTTAACTCCCTTTGAAGTCAATGAGGCTTAAGCCCTTCCCTGAATAAGGATGGATTTAAGAACATGCATAAGTGCTTCCCTGAATCAAGACCATTCTGATTAAGTCAGAGCAACAGCTAATAGCTTGTTTATTTCTGGAATTTCTAACTAACCAATGACTGCATTTCAAAGAACCACTTAGCTTAGCTACATATCAATAGTCTCCAGTGCCATCCAGCAAACTCCCAAGGTATCTCACACATGAATACAAACCCCCTGACCAATAAAGATACTGCAAACACAAGCCATCACCATTTGGCCTATATAAAACACATTTCTCTGTGTTTCCTTAAAAAAAACACACAAATATTTGTACTGTAGCTAGTTGACCTTTTTCAAAATGAATTCCATTCTTTTCCAAGTCTGAGTAAACCTGAATGTACAGTGCCAGCAGATCGATAATTAAATGTTTTCTTCTTTAGAGTTATACTGGGATTACACCCGGTTTCTGTATTTACCATTTCCACATACACTAATGGTGACTATATTGGAGCCTCTTTTAAGTAATAGAAAATCATATGCATTAACTTTCCCTCAAAGTCACGGCAAATTGATATCCCCTCTAGTAACAGCTAATATGTCTGGATGCAAGCAACGACTGACAAGATTAGATTCTAATACCACAGACATGCCATGAAAATAGAACTAAAATCTTGTTGGGACCTGACTGGTATCTGCATTCACCATAAATCCACATGGAATTATCTGATTTAGGGGAGATGTCTTTGGGATGAAGCTCAGTTAAAACCAACTGTGGTCATTAAAGACTCCTTTAAACAACAAGGGGCGGGGGATTGTTAATTCATCTAACAGCCAATTGCGAATGTGGATAATTCTCAATACACCCTCCCTCCCTGACCCCTGCCCTGGCCCCCCATCTTTCCTCCTCCCTCTGCATTCAAAGCAGCCTGTTTCCACCTCCTGCTGCGGGCTTCAGTGGGGGAAGAAGGAACATTGTGAGCACAGGAGAGACAGGATGCCTGTTCTCCATACCTGTGTCTGGAGCTACTGTTGCTTGAAGAAGCAGCTGTAGGGAAAGCACTACTTAAGACCTGCAGTCTTGGGCTGGATCATACCCAGTGCAGATAGAATCTCTGGAAAATTTAGCCGCCCAGCCCTAGCTCTCTACTGAGCATGTGCAAACTGAATTTTTTCTGATGCTCATAACTTGTACAACTTCTCACAGGGACAGCAAAAGGCATATCCCTGGCACTAATGCAGCCTCCCTGCCCCATTTCAAATCCAAAAGCATGGAGGCACCAGAGCTTCCCAATTAAATGGTTTAAGAATTTGCTTGACATGGGAAAAACAGTTCTTTTCCCAATTCCAGTTTTGGAAATGGCTGAACCACTTTTGCTGAAACTTACCAGAAAAATTCAGCTTGAGGCAGACACGCAGCGTGACAATTTTCAGCTTGAAGGGTTAAAACCTGGCAAAATTATAAGCTACTGAAAACAGGGTCCTCTCTTGGAAAGCATTGAGCACCCTTAGCTATAAGCAATATTACCCATTCCTCTCACAACATTTTATGAAACCCTTTAGGACAGAGTGTTACAAAGCTTTCATTTTCTATGCAGACATTGATTGTTGCACATGTGGGATAACTACAAATTTCACAGCTATAGGAGATCTTTTATCATAGGTTATGTCTACATTTACACCAGCATGTAGACTATGTATACTACATGCCCAGATAGCATGGCTATTAATAGCAGTATAGATGGTGAAACACAGCTTAAGTGAGTAAAGACACACCAGAACCTTAGATTATATAACTTACACAGCTCTCTAATCACCCATGCAGTGCCTCCCATGTTTACACTGCTACCTCCTACTGCCGGAGCCTTTCCCCACCACAGGCGCTGCCGGAGACTTTCCCCACTTCATGAAAGACTCCAGAGCAGCAGGGAAAAGCTCTGGCATGGGGGAGGCAGTGGAGAAAGACTCCGGCAGTTATTTTTCTTTTAAAAAAATTATATTAAGCATTTATATTAAGCATTCATTTATACATAGTTTAAAAGGGG